AGAAAAGCTAGATTCCGCAGGTCTGATCCATTAACCTTGTCCGTCATACAAAGTTGCAAGTTTTGTGAAAATAAATTTACTAATCATTTTTTTCCTAACAGTGGTGGAGAACGGAGAAAACTGGAGCGCAGGCCAAAGGCAGTTATTCTGTCTTGGAAGAGCCTTGCTGAAGAAAAGCAGTATACTTGTACTCGATGAAGCAACGGCATCAGTTGATTCCGCTACAGATGGCGTGATCCAAAAGGTCATTAGTCAAGAATTTAAGAACCGCACGGTGGTGACAATAGCTCACAGAATCCATACAGTCATCGACAGTGACCTTGTTTTGGTTCTCAGTGATGGTAGGAAACAAGATACTTTTCCGTAATAACACACATTCTCTTTGCCTAAACATTTCTATGTTGGGATTGATACTCATAGCTCCTTTTTTTTTGGATCGTGCAGGAAGAATAGCGGAATTCGACGCACCCACGAAATTACTGGAGAGAGAAGATTCATTCTTCTCCAAGCTCATAAGGGAGTACTCCATGAGGTCACAGAGTTTCAACAGCTTAGCACACCGAAATAGCTAAACCCGGCAGTCAAAACATAGAAGGGACCAGAATCAAGGCGGACTGGGAGAAACCACGGGGTCCTACGGTTGCATCAATGGTGGAAATGCTCGGGTTCGACATGGGTGCATCGAACACAAGATCAACAATCCGTGAAGTGAATAGAGCTTCCGAGTTCCGCTTTAGGATTTGGCAAGCAATTATTCTTTTTTTGCGCTGAGTTCAGATACTCCATTGTCATTGGCATTTTCAATAATCCAATCAACGTAGGCATATGTAGGTGAGTAACCGAACTGGACGCATTGTTAGGAAAACAATAAGAATTTTGCGAACAGAAAAGGAAGATGCTTTGCCGAGGCAGCATTTTGGCAGCAGGATCAAATCGAAATGCGCAGAACAATTTAAAGACAGACCGACTCTCTTTCGTTGAACGGCATTCCTAAGGGTGACGAAATCTCAGCACATACTTTCCGCACACTGACACCATCAACTGGTTTGTGGGGTCCCTTAAGATGGAAACAGAATAACTGAGACAACTTCGCCAAAGGCTCGTGAACTGAGGTGGCTAGAAAGGATCACCTAAAAGGGGTGAATAGGTAATTTAAAATAAATCTTGATCAATTTAAAGCAGAAGTAAAAGATCAAGAACAAAGTCTGAACAACGTTTAGATTTTAAACAGGTTTTTATAGCAATTGTGTATGTGTGAAATGTAATAAATAAAAGGAGCGGGATGAAAAAATCTGCACATAAGAAGTATAGTGATTTGGCTTAAATCAAGCCTACGTCCACACTCCTATGCTGACAACCTACTTGCTGAATTCCACTAATCAAATCAATGAGAAGTTAAAGCATTTTGTGCCGCTTAAAAATAAGCACTTCTCCTCAAAGTTAGTGCTGATTATACCAAGCCGATAGATCCCACTATTTCACACCTAAGCACACACTTATAACACTGTTTACACCTTTCAATTGATTACACTTTACAGCCCATGAAAGACAAATATAAAGATTGAAGATCGCTTAAACTTTGGAATTCTAGATTTTGGACCTCGTCTCTTACTTTTGCTCCTCGGCACTTGGTCTCCTTTTATACTCCTCCATTTCCAATATAGCCGTTGAACAGTCTCCAGAGGAACGTCTTCCAATCTACCCATATTAAGAAGATTGAGTAGAAGTTGAGAGACAAAATCTGAATCTCCGCTGAATTTGGTCGCCCATACAACAAAAGTCTTGATTTCTATAAGTAAAGCTTCTCCATTTAGAAAATAACTTGGCTCGAGATTGATTGCTAATCAATTACGATGTTTTGCATATTAAACCGTTGCAAAAACAATCTTCAAGATTGAGTCAATCAATTTATTCTATGTATGAAATTCGAACCAAATCACTAGCCATTATTTACATTATGATCTCGTGTCACGTTCTGAACATCTAGTATAAAGTCTGAAGTTCTTCATATGCAGTGTAAAGTCTGAACCTCCTTTGCTTGAAGTAATTTCACAATCTGAACACGAACAAGATCAAGATTGTCATATGCTTTTCTTCCAAGAATAACTTCCTGAATCAAAATACTTTAAGGCATTTATCAGACTTACAAGACAAACATGAATAATTTTGTCAACTTCAAAATCTATTAGGAGGTTTTCCCAACATGAACAACCCTCTCTTCTTCCCTCTTGCATAATCATTCGCCGGTCAAACGAGCACGGATTGCGCAAGTAAATGCTGTGATCCATGAACATCATGTATGTGCAGGAACCCGTGTTCGAAAGACTACCGCTACTGCATTGGCGACTTATCAATCAAAGTTCTTCACCTGTCAAAACCGAACTTCGCATCGACCATTTCGAATCTTCTTCCAAACCAGCAACTACTACACTCTATGAGAATGACACTCATGAAAAAAGTTCAATCATCATGAGCCTCGAAAAGGTCCGAGAAAGTACGGAGAGCACCAGACTGCAAATGTCCATCGATCACCAGCACAAGAGAAGTTACTGACCACCATTGTAGTTCATTGGGTTATTTGACTATATTATATAGTTTTAATGCATGCTATGTAGAGTAAAACTTTAGGCTATATCTTATATTTTAACTATCTCGTTAATTAAGACATATTAGTGAAATTTTGTATAACCACTACCAACTATTCCAAAAACTTAAATTATTAGGTGAAAGTGTAATTTAATATTTAATTATTCTAATTATTAGGCCTTCAGACCTTCGAGATGACTGTTGCGATTGGGTCCTCGCATATGTTTGATGACATGCCTGTGTCCCTGTCCCTCTCTCTCAATAGGTGGATGTTTCAATTTTTTTTTTTACTATATTTTGTTCAAATCCTCTAACTTTTCTACTTTGATTTTAATTTGATGCAAAACATTAGATATGTAAAAATCACATAAAGTTTTTTTTATAATGTGGACAAATTTATTAAGTAACTTAGATTTTCTAGGTGCAATTTCAAGGCAAGACTATACTAAAAGTCCTAAACATTCACAGTACAGTCGATCCTTAACGTTTCAAAAAGAAAAAAAAAAGCAATTTAATCCTAAGAACTTTGAAGTTCATGCAATCAAATTCTAAACTGGCTGTTGCTACAATCCGTAATCGTGAAAAAAAAAACTGGGGTTTTCTTCATCAATTGAGAGTATGACTTGGATTATGAGTATCAACAAAAAATAATACTTAAATTTTATGTGAAATTGGGCAAAAACTCTATTTGAAACTAAAAACCTAGAATTGACTCTTCATTTCGAATTCAATCATTAAATGCTGATCAAATGTTTAGTTAATCATCCTTAGATATCTAAAAGATTGAAATCGACAGAATTTCAAAGTAATAAATCCGGATCATTAAAACCCCAATTGCGCAAAATCCAAAATATAATTCAACTAAAGAATCGTAATTAGAAAATTCGAATCGAATATTCACGGACATAATTTGATTAATGGCCGATGGTCATGGCTGCACTCAAAGAACAGCCCGAGGCAGATGAATTTTTAGAAGGAACTTTGGCGTCTCCTATCGATCATGTAAGGACTTTGGATAATGCATACACAGAAGCACAAAGAAGACATCATGTGAAACTACGCATGGCAGTTCCGTTGGACCATTTGAATTTTAGAAGTCTCACGACAAGATCACAAGCAGGTTTCTTGTTCTCAGGATGTGCAGCGACTCGAAAAGGTAACAGCCACGGTGCGAACTGGGGCGTGGCATCAACAAAACGTCAGAAATTTCTGAAATTATATTCTCTCAGCTTTCAGTAACTTTGCGCCGCGGCACATCGAATGTTCCTTAGGTGAGTTCAACTTTCCTCTATGCATTGTGGAGTCCATGGACAAATAAGAACCGTAGTACTAAGGGTTTTCCCATATCATGTACCCCCACAAGATCGATATTCCAGCAAGGCAAGTTGATACGATTTTGTGAAATAACACGAGACCTAATCGGTTCGCACACATAAATCACTTGCCTATGGCAATGTGTCTGAACTCGAATCTGCTCCTGGTAGTGATTATAACCGCCAAACCAGCTCTCATCAACAACACGTCAAATACTCAGTTCTGTCTATGATGTTTATGTTCCGACGTCCGTTTCTGGAAATTCTTCGAAACCACAGTAACACAAGAAAAGTAAATGTACAGATATCTCTGGGAATGTAGAGGAAGAAAACACCCATTGCTTTTCGCTGCAAAACGTATGACGATACTGACGTAAACAGACCAAACTGAAGGACTGCACATTAATCCGCATTGAATTTGATTATACCAGTTCAGAAATAAGACAACGAACGATACTTATTTACATGAAGAGCACAAATGGAAACAGGAAATGAAGTTCAGTATTGAATTGAAAAAACCCTGTAAAGAGCTTCTTCAAGGTAAACAAGCCTATACACAGATATGAGGGAGTGTTGCATGGAAGCCCATTCAAATGGCGCAATACTCAACATGTTTACTCAATCCTCACGCTGGGAAAGAGGAGCAAAAATCTAAGCAACAAAGACAAATATACCTCAGAGGAACTGAACATGTCAACAAACAAGCAGTTTACAGATCCATTCAACATACACTTAACAATAGAAGATTTACATCTCAGTCCTCCGATGACGTATTCGAGTCAGTACATGCTTCCAATATGTACTAGATAAAGGCAAATATGAGCTTTCCGCAAAATCCACGATATCAGTTTCATCTAACTAAAATCGTAGCTTACCAACGACCCCAAAATACCCTAGATTTCTCTATTACAACATAAAAAGCGATTGTTTTCACCGTAGAACAGCTTAGCGAGCCTAGTTTTGCCTCGTCCCACATTATCCGGTTTGAAGATGGTAATAAAGGGCGGTAATGAAGCTTGACACAAGACAACCACTGATGAAATATGATCAATCAATGCCCAAGCTGGAATAGGGTTCATAGCCACCCTGACAATCAGGAAAAACCGCATAGAAAGTCTGATCTTAGAATTATTGCCTTTAAGATTGATTCATAAAAGTATGAAAAGCTCTCTACCCCAAATACATTTGAACCCGATTAATGCTTGTTTAGAACCAAAATGCAAAACAATCTATATCAACAGCAGCAAGGAGGACATTAAGCAGGGTCTACATTCAACTACTCAAAATCAAACAATAAATCGAAAAGAAAATGGCTCTGAGCTTTGATGATTCCCCTTCCCATGTCACAACTCCATTGCTTCACTGTTTCAGATTTCCTAATATGCTATCTTTATGCCTAATATGATGATCCCAACTCCCAATCCACCAAGAATGCACTGTCAACTAAATTAAGAGGAGCCAAAAAGCCACATGGCTATCACAGGGTTGTAGAAAGGAAAAAAGAACTAATTAAATTTTGATTATCTTATTAATCAATACTACTGGAAGATGCTACTCACGGAGCAGTCATCATGAACACGCCATATCGTCTCCCCCAAAAGGTTTGCCACAGACAATACTGTCAACTGAGGGAAATAGTTCTGTTCAGACACTGGGATGGTGTTAGTTATGATCACTTCTTGAAATAAACCATTTGACAACCTCTCAATTGCTGGTGGACTGCAAGAAAAGAAGAGATATAGATTCAGTGCAAACAAGCGCAACAATATAGTATACATGATATAAAACCCACAAACAATGGAATTTTATTTTAACGTCGCATTAGGAGTCAACCTCACAAAATGTTATTCAAATTAGGATCGACTTTCACTAAGATAATCGATATTAGATATATCTTAGATTATTGATCTTTGACAGCTTTTTAAGCTGCTAAACTTCTTCCTCCTCTTCCAAAAGGGCATGCAACCACAAACAACCTTGCTGGAGAGCCCAACCCAAAAGCTTCAATTCATTACATGGAAGGAGACTTCAAAATTGCAAAGGCCCATAGAAACTCCAAAATAAATTGATATGGGATACTTTAACACCTCTTCTTACGTGCATACTAGACTGAGAATGGCACGTGGAATTGATGAATGGGGACCCACACAGAATAAACTTGAAGTGGTACCAGGCTCTAAAACCAAATTAAAAAGTCCAACAAAAATACTTAAGCCATTAGATTGAAATTACATGAATATATGACCCACTAAAACAACTGCCCACAAGAGTCGTGGGATTTAACAAACTTGAAAGACCAAAACCAATGTGGACTTTTGTGGGGAGTCGTATCATGTCATGCTCTATGGGCCTCCTCAACAATCTTGTGACAGACTTACCCAAAAAAGCAAAGAAGTTTAGCACCAAATCAGAAATCCATAAAGATAGTTGAAGTTATCATAAAGTCAAATTACTGTCTATGACGTTGAAATTCACTATCGCTTGCATAGACAATTAATACACATCTCAAGTTTCCCATGAGGATACTCAAAAAAATGAAGTATCTTTATAAACTGAGGGTTCATGAAGGGAGAAGAGACATCTTGAATACAATTCAAAAAAAGGGCCAAATGTTCACACAACAATGAAATTGAACATTATTGCACACCTGCGACTTAAACAGTGACAGTGAACCATACCTGAAAACAGCATGTGTACTGCATGCATAAACTTCTCTGGCTCCCTCTTGATGCAAGAGAGCTGCGCCTTTGGCAATCGTCCCTATTTTTCACAGTAATTGCCATTTATACTGTTTGAGTGTGCACATAATATCTAACAATCTAGTAATAGCTTTAAAGCCATTGGACCAGAGACACAGAAAGAAATAAACAAGTGGCAGTACACTCATGTCATTATTCAAAGTACTTAAGTTAAAACAATTAATCCAGTAAGGAGATGAGTGATTTTGCACAGGGTGGTGTCCCATTAGAAACTTTTCAATGATTTTCTTTTGTTTCAAGTAAAAAAATAATATAAATGTGTGGATGTATGTGCATGTGTGCCTGTTGAGAGAGAGAGAGAGAGAGAAATGAGGAACAAAGCATACGGGAAACTTACCTGCTGTATCTATCATGTCATCCACCATAACTGCTACCTTCCCCTTGACATCACCAATCAAATTCATAACCTATAGATGGACAGTAATTACTATCCACGCACAAAGTCAAAAGGAAGTGCACGATTCATTTCACCACCATGCTAAGCAGATGTTAGAGAAGTTCCATTCAGAGCAATTCAAGAATTTTACATTTAAACAATATATCGAAAAGACCTTATTCAACTCATCCATGATCCTGCTCTGGGAGGACACCAACTTAAAATACCTTTTTTGGCATCTAGCAAGGTGGAATAACAACTTTAAAAAAAAAAAAAATCAAACTCTTTGATCAAGGAATGTAAAATTGCACAAGTTTGCTCAGTTTAATACGCTATTCCAATCTGTATGACATGAAGTGTAGCTCAAGAGACAAAACAACCTCGACAGATCAAAGGATCATCCATATGGTTTAACTTTAAATGCAGTTTTCCAAAGGGAAATCAAATTAGTTCTCTTTGTAGATTGACAGACATATAAGCTCAAAGCAGAAATGATTTGTTTGATAGATGCAAGACGTTCCACTTAGTCTGATTGTGTTATTCACATTTGCAAAAATAGCCAAGGAGAAATGAGGGCATGCCTTAATTCTACTTGAGAGTGTATACTGTTCCTAAAATATGCCAAAAAATATTAATGAGAACAATATGGCAATTGTTACATTTCAGTTACATCCTGATTTATTCATGGATAGAAGATTTCGTCAGAGGATTTCTCGGCAATATATATGAAGGTATTTGGCAGACAAGCAAGAGTCATAATTGCAAGCCATCAGTCAAAATCAAAAGTGATTTGTTTTTAACCTCATTAAGAGTATCCCAACCTATGTATACATTCAGCTAGAATAAAATCAAAGGAATTCAACATTAACTATCAGCTTTATCTTCAAGTATAGAGAAAGAGCCTAAAATCAGAATCAAGGACATGAAATGTCCTTGACAACCTAATGAAGCTAAGAATGATTAAGCATACACGTGACAGGGCTCAAGCAGTCAGTGAAGGACCTTCAATCTAAATCTCTTGCCCCTATTATTGAGTGTCGTCAATAAAATGACATGAAATGTCTTAATTTTGAACCATGCACACTTTGAGCAGGATAAAAGTCTTTACCAACTACATGTACCAAAACTTAAAATTGTCTCAATGCATAAAAAAGGGAAAGTTCATCTAATGCATACGAAATGGTTTCCAAATTAAAGCCAACAACAACGAAATAGCCATCCACAGTAAAGCCATTAACATCCTCTGCTTCTAGTTTAGGTTTACATCATAACTAATAAGTGTTTCATTTCTTTTTGCATATGCAATTGCTTAAGTACAGTCACCTCATTGATTCAATACATTTCAAACAGACAAATAAGATTAGTCAGCCATGTGCAGAAACTATTTACAAATCGTTTGGGCTAAAGACTTTTACCAGCGATTAAGTTCAGAAAAGTAGTCCAGTAATTTTCAATTCACAATTGATCCACGAATGCAGATAAGAGCTGCAAACTTGTTTATGTTCCAAAAAGTCAAAGACACTTAAAGTATCGGATCTCCAAGTTACCAAAAAAAATAAAAGTCTTATAATGCATAGCAGTAGCTACAATCCATATATTATTACCTCTGCAACATTATGAGCATGGCGCCTTTTATCCACAATGGCAAGCGGTGCGTCGGATAATTTTTTTGCAAAGGCACGAGCTCTAGCTACTCCACCAACATCAGGCGAGACCACAACCAAATCATCTGAGCAGATGGTCTTACTGGCAAGATAATCAAGAATGACGGGCTACACAAATAAAGAGGGCATCAGAACAAGTAAATCAAGACCAAAGGAAAATCTAAATAATGCACCTATTTGTTTCAAGATACCATGTGCTAATGTAACATATATCTCCATGCTCTCTCTCTCTCTCTCTCTCTCTCTCTCTCTCTCTCTCTCTCTCTCTCTCAAAAATTTTATCCTAATTGATCCCAAGGCCAAGCCTTTTATACTATTCTCGCTAGGAATTACAAGGCCTCCGCCAGGAGAACTCCCCAAACTCTCCTAGGAAATAAAAAGTTCTGCGATCATTGGACAAATGGGTGAAACTTGAGAATTCGGCTTCTTAATGCACAGTTGCTATGGGGATCTCATGCCATCCAGGCAACTCAGGCTGGACAGAAGCCTTTGGGCGTCCTGATTAGTGACCCAACTTCACAATGCCACATGATGTAACAAGAAGTGCACTACCATGACTACAAGCAAACCTTGTTTAGTATGCATTATAATTGGACTCTGTAAGAATAACCAGGCACCTTTTGCCAAAAACAACAGAAAATTACACCATCAATCTGTAGTGCTGAAAGACTTGGAATAGTATAAATTAAGCATCTACCTACCTGACCATACACATGATCCACTGGGATATCAAAATAGCCCATGGATTGGCCAGAATGCAGATCACAAGCCAAAACACGATTTGCACCTGCTTCGGTAATCAAATTTGCAACAAGCTTTGCTGCAATGGATTCACGCCCTTGAGTCTGCAATGACATATATGAATAGGAGATGAACCTCCTAAGTTCCTAACATGTAAATTTAAAGGCAAATTCTTCTCAAACATACCTTTCTATCAGCCCTTGCATATCCAAAGTAAGGAATCACTGCAGTAATGTTCTTTGCAGATGCCCTCCGACACGCATCAATCATTATCAGAAGCTCCATGAGATTCTCATTTGCAGGAGGACAAGTAGGCTGCACTAGATACACATCACATCCTCTAACACTCTCTTGCAATTGAACGTAAATTTCTCCATCGGCAAATCGCTTTATCTTTATCTTTCCAAGCTCTAAACCCATATAGCAAGCTATTTCCTATTAAGCGAATTACAAAAAAGTCAAAAAGAGTCGACAAGTATCTAATTCTCATAATGCTCATGAAGAAGCACAAAATATTAGACTGAAATACAGGGTATCAAATTGCAAAAGTTAACAGAAGCAAAACTAGCTTCATAAGTAATTAAAAAAATGAGGAATACCGAGTACACATCATCCTTAATCAAATGTAGGAGATATCTCCCCTTCATCTATTAATATATTAAACTCACAAGTTCGTTTGCCAATATTTTTTAAGCTCGACGGCAATCTACAATAAGGGGCAGTTGCTGGCATCATCCATTGGCAACCCACAGAGAACTTTTATCGGATCATGGAAGTACTCCTAAGTGTTAACTCCAACCCTCGGCATCAATTTTTTCCAGAAACATGTCTGCCCCAGTTTTCACACGGTCAAAAGACCAAATAACAGCACGAATTCACCGCGGCAGAACCTAAAAATCAAATTGAGAAATAACTCCTCCGTCCCACAGCCAGCATAATTTTAGCAAATTATATTTCCTCAAAAAAATTCCACATCGCCATAGCACCGCATGAAATGCATCAAGAGTAACAAAACAGCCATAAGCTAATCCTCGGCACGATAACGACACAAAACCTGAGAAAGCGCAGGGTTCGCAGTGCCGGAAAATATCCGGAGCCGGGTGTCGTTCTTGTTGATCGGACTTTGGAGATGCGTCGAAGTTAAGAAACTCGGTATCGAGCCTTCGTTGTTGATGACCGGGATGCAGGGTTTCCCATTCTGGAGCTTCAGCGGTTCCACCAAATTACACCTCTACAAAAGGACATAATCAGACCACTCAATCAAGCGAAATCAAGCCCCAGAGACCACCACGGTTATCGAAAAATAAACCAAGAAAAAGCTCCCGACGGCGACGGTTTGCTATAGGAGCTCCCTAAAGGCTAGAAAAACGAGCTTTCATTGCAAGCTAACAATACCCAGAAGAGAGAAACAGAGAGAGAGAGAGAGAGACACTTACGATGCCGTTGTGGACTAGCAAGCGAGAGGTGGGCTCGTTGGAGGAGAAACAGGGGAAACGGACAGAGGAGCCGCCGGAGAGAGAACGGGGCGAGCAGATCAAAGAGGCCATGGAAACAGTGGGGATGAAAAGGGTCGGACGGAACAGACGGTGCGGTCGCGGCGGTGCCGGAAAGCCGGAAGCTTTCGAGGTCGAGAGCCGCCGGAGGAGGCGGCGGAGGAGGAGGAGGAGGGAGGAGGAGGAGTCAGCAGGGGAGGGATAGGGGAAGGGAGAGAGAGGGTTTGCGAGTTTCGCAGCCGCCCTGAACAGGGCCGTGGCGGCGATTTTGGTCAGAAATATCGTGGAAAAAAAATCGAGAAATTATGGGAAATTCATTAATTAGAAGGCTAAGGTCGAGGGGTTGTCGGATTAACTTCAAAAAAGTGGTCAAAATTCATGAGGAAAATTTGTCATTTACTTGAAGCTAATGTAGAAGGGAGTAACTTCTGGATTTGTTTCCATCCTAGCCAAAGAAGATATCTCATGTTGTCCAGAATTTTTTAGGGTCGTCCCCCTTTTTTTTCTCTCTGTTTTGGGTTTTAAAGTTTCGCTTATTTTAAAATTAGATTTTATGCACGCATTCTACGCGTCCCGGACAATTATTTATGTCATGTTTTACGTGAACTTTATGATACACATGTCACACGTGCTTAATTATCACGTATGTCGTTCTAGAGTTAATAAGACAACGGTGGTAAGAAGTGGAGGTGATTTGAGGAGTTAATGAAGAGGACATTATGTACCGGTCAAAGGTGTGCGGTTAGGGTTGATTAAGGGAGAAGTGGTCCACGAAAGTGGAATTTTATATTCCTTATTGTGTGAACGAGAGGGATTTTATCTAACCTAAAAATCGGGTGGGACCTAAAAATGAGACGAACCTCACTTTTGTAATTATATACTATAGATAGATAGGCACTTACCTTATTAGGAGTCTTAATTTCCCAGGAATTTTTAGTAAACATTACATTGACATTGCCTTCTTTTTCGGGGGAAAAAAAACTAGACCTCGAGTTAGGCTCCACATCACGCGAAAATTTTGTCGTTAGGCTCATAAGCATGAACATTTGAAATATATCAAAGGCCAAATTAATAACCATAGAATCTCTCATCTTTAATTTATGTGTCTTCTGGCCCTGGTTGTGCTATGAACAATGGCCACTGAAATTCCTGGTCAAAATATCTGCATTCTCTCACCAACCGATTCTTTGAGGGTATAGATAAAAGCATGAAGATGATGAGTTTTGGCTGCAAGAACGAGCGAGCAACTGGGGAGACTTGAAATTCACTCGCTCTTTACTCGTGAACGACGTTTGCTAAGGGCGCATTTGGTAACGCTTCTATTTCTCTATTTTTCTGTTCTTCTGTTCCCTTGAACAAAAAAAGAGCAGAAATCCGTTTGGTAACGCATTTTATTTTTCTATTTCCTGGAATAGAAAAGTGGCTAAGAAATAGATTTGGAGCAGAAATAAGAAGTAGAAAAAATCTACTTCTTTGTTCCTAGAAATAGAAATAGAAATAGAAAGGTCCGGTCCTCAAGTCGCGACCTCAGCTCCTCCTCCATCCTCCGTCGTCTGCAAACCGTCTCAAAGCACCGGTCCGGTCCATGCTCGGCGGAAATAATAAAAAAATTATAAAAAATTAATTAAATTATAAAAAATTAAAAAATTCCAAAAATTCATAAAAATCAGAAAAATTCTCAGAAAATCCATAAAAATCAGAAAAACTCAGAAAACCCATAAAAATTTGCAAAATTCCGAAATTGAAAAATTTTTAAAAAATTCATAAAAAGCTTTCTGGAAAATAAAAAGAGACAAATTTCGGGAAAGTAAAAAGTTTTACCCCAAAAAAAACAAAAATAAAATATTCACATAATGGCTTAGAATAAATTAAAAAATTCCGAAAATTCATAAAAATTAGAAAAATTTCAGAAAAATCCCATAAAAAATTAGAAAATTAAAAAATTCCCAAAATTCATATAAATCAGAAAAATTCTCAGAAAATCCATAAAAATCAGAAAAGCTCATAAAACCCTTAAATATTTGCAAAATTTCGAAATTGAAAAAATTAAAAAAATTTCATAAAAAAATTTCGGAAAAATAAAAAGAAACAGATTTAGGGAAAGTAAAAAATTTTAATAAATTTTACCCCAAAAAAATATAAAAAAATTCACATAATGGCTTAGAATACCTGTGGCCACCCACTTTGAGTGAAATTTAAATTTTTGAGATGCCCAAGTGGTATTTTTGAAGATTCCTTAGTTTAGGGATTAAAAGGGGTTTTAAATCCCTAAAAAGGATTAGACAAACCAATAAATCATGCTTATTGGTTTTTTTCACTTATAACTTGTACTTATAGTTAAATAAAAGATATAGATTTGAATGCAAAAAATTGGAAATAGAAATTTTGTGCAGTTACCAAACGCATTTATGTTCTTTTTCTATTCCAAGAATAGAAATTTTGTGCAGTTACCAAACACATTTCTGTTCTAGAAATAGAAATTTTGTGCAGTTACCAAACGCATTATTTTCCTCAGAAACTCTTCCAGGAAATAGAAATAGAAAAAACTATTTTTGAAAAGAAATTATTCTCAGAAATAGAAACGTTACCATACGCACCCCAAGACAAGTTCTCGCCATTTTTCAACCGATTCTCCAATCTAGAGAACGTGCATTATCGAAGAACATGAAGCTCCGAATAGCTCTGAGAGTTTCTTGCGCTCAACCCAGATCCCTTCTCTCTCTAGTTTCCTGTTCCTGCATCTTTTCAAGACTGGTAAAGCAAGGATTCGTATCAAGGTGATAGTTTAAGCTCAATCTCTTGAATCAGTAACTAGCTTGAATTAGATCGATTGTCCATACACTTTCCACAGAAAAAGCATCGATGGAGCTCCACTTGGTATAGTCATCAAATGAACCACACCAAGTTTCATAGCTCACCATTCAATTCACTTCTCTATGACCCCTTCCCTTGGACTTGTCTTCACGACTTACATACTCAATCTTACATGCACAAACACCACCTCTCTTCGCCAGCCCCTTCACACTTTATTGAGCTCCCCGACTCCGTGTCCGTTGCCATCGCCCTCCGCGCTCGTCCTCACGAACTCGATGTACTGATACCATTTGGCGCACAGAAGATAGACAAAGAAATCTGCTGCCGTCAGCGCAGCGAGCAAGAAGTAAAACCTATCCAGATGCCCTCTGTTCAGGTTCCTTGGGATCCAGCCGGGCATGTCGTCCCTCGCGGAGAACTTCATCACCATCGTCACCAGCAAGCTGCTCACGTAGTTCCCGAGCGAGATCGAGGTCATGCACAGTGCGCTCCCGAAGCTCTTGAGCCCGTCCGGGGCCTGCCCGTTGAAGAACTCGAGTTGCCCCACGTACATGAAGACCTCGGACGCCCCGATCAGCACATACTGCGGGACCTGCCAGAAGATGCTGAGCGAGCTTGAACCCTCGCAGCTCAAGCAGTTTTTGTCCGCGTACTTCAGCCTGAAGTGCTCAACAGCGCCAGCCGCGATCATGGCAAGGACCGCGACGATGAGACCAATCCCCATGCGCTGCAGCTGGGTGAGGCCGCGAGGCTTGGTGCGGACCCGGGCCACGACGGGGTCGAGGACGCGGCGGTATATGAAGATGAAGGCGGCGACGCTGAGGATGTCGAAGCTCGACATGCTCGCTGGGGGGATGTGGAAGCCCCCGACTGTTGCCCTCATGGCAGCACCTTGCTCGACGAAGAGGGACGCCATCTGGGTGAAGACTACGGAGTAAAGGATGGTGCAGAGCCAGATGGGGAGGAGCCTCAGGATGCACTTGACCTCTTCGACTTGGGTGACTCTGCAGAGACGCCATGGATTATTGTGGTGAGGTTGCTGCTTGTTGTCTTGAACGAAGTCACTCGGTGTGATGATTGCCGCTTTGTCCAAGAACCTGAGAAAAGAATACGGCAAACTCAGTTTAAGCATTCTCTCAATGCAATAACTGGTAAGAAGCTTAAATTTGTAAATTTCTCAGTTGATTAGGGAAGGAAACATATCATATCAGCATTGCTCCCATTTTTACTGACTTCTATTAATCTCTATGTATACTTGCTATAACTCCAGGAAAAAATAAGAGTGAATTGCACTCACTTGAATCCTGTAGTGTGGAGAATCCTCCTCTCATCACCAGCAGAGATATCTCCACCGTCCACTTCGAACAGATCTTCTGCCGCAGGATCCATCTCGATCCTGCATTTCCGTGTCGCCGAGACCAGGACCTGGCAAAACCTGGATAGAGGATTGCCCCTAGGCCGGAAGTGCCTGTATCGGGGAGTCCCACAGAGGAACAAGACGAGCGCTAGCGCAGCTGAGGCCGTGGACACCCAGAACCCGAGCGCCCACACGCCCTCATCCTCGAAATAACCGAGGATGGTGTTGGAGAACAAGGAACCGAGGTTGAGGGCTAGGTAGAAGTAGCTGAAGAAGGATATCTTGGAGTGCCCTTCCTTAGGGTCCTCCTCGTCAAATTGGTCTGCCCCGAACGTCGCGATGGTGGGCTGGTACCCTCCGTTCCCGAGGGCGACCATGTAGATGGAGAGGTAGAACACAGCGGTCTCGAACGTCGAGTGTGGCCCGCATTGCATCTGCTCATCTCCGCAGCCTCCGGGCTTCAGCAAGAATATGTAGGATGACAGCGAAAGTGCGGCCAAGCCCTGCCATATATACATCACCCCCACATCAACGTCGTTATTTTAGAAGCTTTTGATCTCAAAGTTTTAACAGGAAAGGATGTATTTTGGCGTATCTATTCACTACGAGGAACTATTACACACCTATCTATTATTAACGTGCTTTCAAAGATGATTCGCATATATATAGATTTAGTTTCTTCAGATCATCGAATCATGTGAACCCCACGTGAGACTCACATGATCTGACAAATAACGTATTGAAATTCACCATTCCCTAGAATGGCCCATCTCATAGGATCTAGGCTCGAATTTTACATAGCACACAATCTATGTCAAAGATGGATCTAAGCTCGAATTTTAAATAGCACACAACCAATCTATGTTCAAGACTAATTACAAAGCGCGACAATACTATGACAAGTGCACTTGTTCTCTCCATAACCACTCCATGCGTATGTACCCAATGATCAACATCGCTCGTTTAACTCCTCTTCTTTTAGCACAACAGACCCAATTCGATTAGTTTCAGACATTCAAAGATGAGAGAGAGAGAGAGGGGCTTACCATGACGAAGATGGCCTGGAAGACGGCACAGGTCTTGTATCGGCCCCAGTAGGAGTCACTGAGGAAGGCGCCAAGGAGGGAGAAGATGTAGACGGTGCCGGTCCACTTGCTGACGTTGTTGGCCGCGCTCGCGTTGTCCTGGCCCATCACCCGCGTCAGGAACAGCACCAGGTTCACCCCCACGCCGAAGAACGCCAGCGTCGCCAGCCCCTGGTTCACTGTCGACCCAAACCAAAAAGCAAGAGATAGAAACCAGCTCACGTAAGACACAAGGCCTACCATCAAAATTTACAATCTACGGCAAGCACATGAAACGTGCACTGATTGAGGGAACTATGCATGAGAGGTAATCTTGGTGTGCTACATCAATACTCTACTTAACAGTAATAATTATCTTAGAATTATAATTATGGTACATACATGAAATCGTAATTGCACTTATGGAGGGAATATTTGCATGAGACATAATCATTAGTGTACTTCATCAATATTCTACTTTATAGTGGAACGTGTGACATGCAACTAATATATATATTCATTGGTGTTGTACTGCGCATTAGGTATTAATTAATTCGTACCTAGTCTCATGTGTTATTCGTGTTTCTCATCAGAAAATGTTTAACTTTCTTTGCATTTGGATCTTGATGATGAAAGTTCTCCACTATTTGAAGATTCCTATGTGTAACACCTCTGATCCACTTTCACTCTCCGGAAAAGTTGAGCAAGAACAATCGAGTATTTCGGGAATTTTTAGCTAGTCAACACATGAAGGATTCATCTCACTATCCTAGATAGTTGCTTTCATCGATCTTTTAGATCTAGGCCCTATAGCTGTCACCAAAATATAGCGCGAGCAGTATAAGAAAACCATGAAAATTAAATTTCCACGCGCGATAAACATAGAAGGAGATTGTGTATATATATGTGGGACTTTACCGAGTATCAAGACTCCGGCGACCCATGTTCCGGTTTTCCCTCGTACCGCCGGTCGTCCGTGGCAGTCGACAGCTCCATCGCCGGTCAAAACCTCCTCCTCTTTCTTGATCTTTCCTTCTCCATCCTTGTTCTGACAGTGGACGCCAAAAATTGAGATGATACTGTCAATTTCTTTTTTGAATAGTAAGTAATTTTGGTGACTTACTTTTACCAGATAAAAAGAAGCGAGGAAAAGCCGAAGAAGTGAATCATCAAATATGCATTGACCATTTTTTAATTGCAATCGAGATTATTAAGAGGAAAACAACTTTATTATGTCATTGATAATTTTGAACACCCAATTAATCTCTATTTGAATTTTAAGAGAAAATAACTTCGGACTGTCTACATATATATGCACCCACTAGTCATTGCATGGACCTAGGATATTCGTTAGATAGACAATACCATGAAATGGTGAACATTGTATGAAACTTTTATGATTATACTTTATCTAAATTATGCAAGAGGTGCTTTTTGAAATTTTTTTTAACCCGAAGCATCCTAAAAGTTCATAACATATAAATGCCGACACGTAAATTCAGATATTATTTATTTGTACTTTTTTTGAACTTCGAATGAAATTGCAAGTTTTAAAAGCATTTTCTTTCATTTTTATTTAACTCTAAACAAACAGGCCTTTAGTATTTTAGGTGATCGACCTAGTACACGAGCAACATGCAATACTTGCTTGGACTATTTCTGGTGAACAAATCACGAGGACGACGTCATTAATATTATGGACCGTTCTTGTCGTGTGCCTCTTTTGTCCTTACACGAAAATTGAGATGACTATCAACTGCTCAAGACCGTAACGCTCTCAAACTCCTGCTGGACTTGAGCTAAAATCATGGTAACAAGCAAAAGATCGCTTCCCCTATTGTTTCAAGCGATAACTATGCAATAAATGTGATCAAATTCGTCATGTCGTAAAGAAATTAGGCAGTTTATACGGCATGACCATAAGCTCGTAACTAATGAAGTAACTCAACTAGATAATCGGCGAATAGTGAAGCTCGGACGGCACGAGCATCTATTAACTTTTGCTCATCGATACTGAATGTCATCATCGCATGACATGTCGAGACATATCTAAAACACTGTCAAAGTTTTGACACTACGATAATATAGCCATATGAAAGCTTATTATCTCATCCGAAACGATGATATGAGCAGTTCTTTTGGAGACATTCGACAAAAGTGCAAAGCTCGATCTTATGTGAGAGTTTCTATCATATCGTGAAAGAAAAATATATCTTGAACTCTATATACGATGAATTCTCTCGGATGGTAGGATTAAAAGCAACAACATCTTCATGGAATGAGAAAAACACCTTCACCACTCACCTCTTTGAACAGCTTAAAGCATTCCATGATGTGGGTTCTCTCCAGAAAAAAACCTAACTTATTCAGGAAATGCTGATCTTCTCGCGAGAGACAGAGAGACAGAAAGAGATACAGTACAGCAAAATTGCTGAATCTTCTTTTGAGAGAGAGAGAGAGAGAGAGAGAGAGAGAGAGAGAGAGAGACTTGTTTTGTAGGGTGGCAATGAAGTGAAAAGAGCAGTAGGGGGAGAGTAGGTATTTATAGAGAGAGGGTGATGAGAATGGACGGACTAGATCTGATGGGTTTCGGAGAAGTAGGATTACAGAGAGAGGCCGCGCACACACGCAAGAAGAGATGAAACGAGAAATCCTTAAAAAAAAAAGAACAGAAGGAAGAAAAGAAGCAAGAGAAAGAGAAGACGAAAACGAGAGGTGTTGCTGTTGAAGCAGCAATTCTTGGAGCAGAACAAAGACAAACAAGAAGAGGCGTGTGTGACGTCGTTGTGTTGGATACAGTCATACATTAATAAAATCAGCAGCATCGACCACGAAAATTGTGATGATGATGTCTCTTTCACTCCAAAGCCAACTCTGTGGTGACGAGGCTGTCCTCGACGTCGACGTGATTTGAGATTACGCCTTTTATCGTGGGATATTTATAATTAGATTTTAGGGAAAAAGCAACAAAAAATTTAAATTATGCCCATACCGTATTCACTGTGATGCATTTAGAAAAATTCTAAACTTATACTTATGTGACATATGTTCCGTCAAATGATTTTTCATTCAAAACAGCTTCGTTATTATTTCACTTTAAATCACATGGGTGCCACCACAAGGATATTCGTCTAGTCCAGTTAGATTTTTAACAGTTTTCAGTGACAGAATTTTGACGAAAGGTAAACGCGTAACATATGTGCAAGTTTGGAAATTTTTGTATCTCGAAAAAAAGTTTAGGATAAATGTGCTACAGTGAGCATAGTTTAGGGTTTTTTTTTTGATGTTGTCCTAAATTTTATCAACAAATGCTTTGAGAAAGGAATTAGGTATTCATATATAAGAAAATAAATAGATTATGAAATTTAATTTACTACTTCATTCTTTTTTGCAAAGTGTCCACTCAATACTCTAAGGGTGCGTTTGTTTCGCAAAAAATTTGAAAAATATTTTTTTTTAAAAAATGATCATTCGTATCGCTAAGAAAGATGAACGAAGAAAAATTTTCATCACCCACATATATATTACCGTCGATACTGAAATTATTTTTTATTAACTAAAAATTTTTTTCCAAATTGTTCATCTTCAGCAAAACAAACGGAGTTAAATCGGAATATTTTCCCTATATAAAATATGCTTAACAGTTGTCTTCGATCATCCGTTAACGTAACATTTCCTAATTTCCCGCACCATAATATACTTTTTCAGAATTGCTTGAGAACTTTTCTTTGTGGTATTAAAATAGTGACCACCTTGGAGTGAATCCAGACAACTTACATCTCCTCTTGTACAACCCTACTTTATTCAAAGGATCCCTATGAGGATATCTCGCGAATCTCTGCTATGTGAAAAGTTAAGCCTTGATTATTAATTTATTATCAACTCGTGGTAATCAATATAGTAAACACCAGAGAGACAAGTTTGTTTTCTCTTCTAATTCGTTGCTTTTGCAAGGTATTTTTAAATTCGCCGTCGGTACCAACACAATAGGTCGCTCTCTCATGAGATCTTCACAACCTAATGATCACCGGAAGATGATCACGACTAGGGGTGAGCATAGTCCGGGTGGGCGGTTCCCACCCCGGAACCGTGGACCGCCCGCTAAGGACTGGTTCCAAAAAATTGAAACCGAGAACCGCACGTCGGTTGCATGGACCCACCCGAGAACCGGACCGCCGGTTCAGTCCGATTCCCAGGTGGGTCCATGAAACCAGTCCCACTAAGTTTTCCTGGACAAATAAAAAATGGACTGGTTTAATTCTTGCCCGTTGGTGGGTTGTGTTCACCACATGCTACTTTGCTTCACATCAAATACATCTGTAGCCTATATTATATATCACACATGGGAGTTTGCCACAAGCCCACAATAGTAGCAAGCAAACAAAACAACAACTCTCCTATTTTCTTTTTTTTTTAATTTTTTGTCAGATTTTTTAAATTAAAAATTGAAAAAAAATAAATATATTATTATTATATTACCGGTCCGGTCCGGGTGGGCGGGTGGGTGGTTCCACACCGGGAACCGGGAACCAGACCGGTACCCACCGGTTCCAAAAAATTGGAATAGAGAATCGGACCGGGTCCCTTGGGAACCACCGGTTCCGGTCCGATTCCGGGCGGTCTCGGGCGGACCCCGGTTCTTTTGCATATCCCTAATCACGGCCAATGAAGTTCAAATGAAGATGTTGGACCGTGCAAGTTTTAGGGGGAATATCATTAAGTAGTTTTATGTTAGAATCTTGTTAAATGGACAGCCACTTTGATAAAGACCTACAAAGCAGCTAGCACCAACTTTTAGTTGGCGTGCTATTTGATTTCCTCCTCCTAGATTTGTGCAAGAGAAAGATGGCTTGAGCCTTTGAGTGGACAGCTGAGTAAGAATCATCGTTGGATAACATATTCAGCTTTCTTGATCTTATGGACTCATGAAAATGGGCATTGATTGCATATAAGTTAATAGATGAGGTCGCATAGAGGGATTTCTTATTCTTGATGCCGATACGCTCACTACTTGTAGTTATCCAGGGAGAATATTAAAAGTGCCAAAAGTTATGTACAGCACTTACTTTAGTGCCAAAAATTTTTGCCAGATCACTCAAGTGCCAAATTAGAGATAAAACGATCGCTTAAGTACTAACAGCGATATATACTGGCCAAAATTAATATGTAGCTTTTTTAATTGAAATTTTTTATATGAATTAGCATTATTTTTAAAAAAAATTTATCCGTGTGGACTTGCAAAATGATGCCACTTCATCCAACATGGCACCATAGTCCCAAGACAACGTTGTTTCATGGGTCAACAAAAAAACGACGTCGCATCATAGTCCCAAAACAACACTGTTCCATGGCTCAGTAAAAAACGATGCCCTTCCTTCTGTCGTGTTCAATCCTCGGTCATCGTCGGACCTCTCCCTTTGATAGTCATCCCTCACCATCGTTGTCGCTCACTCATTGAATCCTCCTACGTTGTGCGTCCGTCACACCTTGTCGACTTTCGCCGTCGAACTTCATCGATCTTCGTCGTCACCACCTACCATTGCGCCCCCGTTTGTCTCCAACCCCTCTGACAGGATCTCTCTTCCTCTGCAATTTCCTCATCGAATTGAAAGATGTCTCTTTTTGCTTAGCATCACACGACCAATGACCAAATCACAACACCTCAATCAAAACGACATCAATTCAAATTTCAATTGACCGTCAAAGGGCGGAATCTACAAAACAAAGTGACAAATTGAACATGCTCATGAGATAGGCAAATACGATGCGCAATGCACCCGCCTGATGAAAAAAATAGTGACACAGAGAGGAAGAGAGGTTGACACAAGGTCAAACCTGTCAAGAAATGGCAAGAAACAAGAGAGACGACACCAACCTTCGTAGGCGGTACTAGGGTTTGTGGGGGATTGGGGAAGGAGCACCCTCTCTCTGCTTATTTTCTCTCTCTAGATTTAGGGTTCTTATTTGGAGGAAAGGCATTCAACGACATTGTTTATGCTTTAAATGCTAACTAGACCCTCCGGCGAGTCTTGTCGGCTTAAGATTTCAACAAAAAAAGGCCACCAAAAAGATCGGAGTTGGCATGAAAAGATCGTTTTTTTTTTCAAAAAATTAGATATTTAAGTGATCCAAAAAAAAAACTTTTGACACTAAAATGAGTATCGTACACAACTTTTTGTACTTCCGGTGTCCTTCTCCCTAGTATCCAACTAAATTGCTACATATGTGTAGTTTTGTCGCCACCAGACGTTATGGTAAGGCCTAATGGCAAGGGTTTGAAAGGGTATAAGATGCTTCCGTGATTAAAATTTGAAAACGTCTATGGTGCACGAATTTTCTTATAGGTCTACCACATATTTCTAGCCATTGACGGGCGAGTGCATTCGAGCCAAGAGTGGTTCGTATGTTAAGATGATAAAGTATAATCACATCCCTCACCATCAAATTAAACTTTTTCAAACAATTCGTTATGCAATATCATGGTATTGGAATCAAATTCCCCGCAAATCCACTCGTGCATAGAAACTCTAACCTGCACTTTAATAGCGTTTGCGTACTTCAAGCTCTTCGCTAGATGTCCCAATTAAGTGTAAATTTGCGTCTCATTTTATTCATGATATTTATTAACGGGGTATGTCATGTTAATGAGGTCTAAAACTTAAATCCTTCATGAAGGAACACCAATTAAATGAAGGGGGGGAAAAGCCAGGAGGGCAAGAAAGATTGACAAATAGCATTACCATAAGAGATGGAACTTTCCACTTCGTTTGAGAAATTGATTACTTTCTCCAAGCATGTAAAGCTAGAAACGTAGAACTTGGACACTCTCTTTCCGAGTCCTCTCTTCTTGCCCCTTTCCATGAGTGCTGGATCTTGTTTTCCAATTGGATAAAGGTAAGTGTTTCAAATTGGAAGATGAGCATACCAGAAGCCTTGAAATTTGTAGTGAATATGTGCTCGAGCCTTAAAATTTTAAAAAGTGCAATCAAATCCTAAATTTATTTAATCCGTTGAGTCGAGTTCCGTCCAATTTAACATATGAAAAATACTAACATGTCAATTTCAAATATATTTTAGGGTCACACGGCACTAACATTACACCAATTGGATAGATTTCAAGACTTGATTTACGCTTTCTCAAAATTCTAGAACACCTGGCACACTTCTTCCAAAATAAAAAAAAATCAATAATTAACAAGAAAGCCGTTCTTGGTTATCACAAATTCAGAAGCAGAAACAAATCACGTTGTTTTAGTACCCACAAACCAAAAGCCGTCTAAACCACGAGCAGAATATCTTAGGCCTATCGAGATTTGTTTATTCATTCAACACGAGGAGATGTTGAGAAATTATGATATTGATATAAACTAATGGTTATAAATTTGTCTACTAGACTTCACGAGTCTAAGCGGACAAGTTTGACGACCAATTAAGGTGCTAATCACATATAAAATAATTTAAAGTTTAACGCTTTATGCATAAAGATTTGGTGCTTAATAAAATGTACCACAAAGGAAGCAATTAACTATCATTTTTTGCTGATCTAACTTGGGGAGGTGGCGATGTTTAAGGCCAAGAAAAATAAATTTTTAAGGAAAAAAGTTGGGTGGTTGCTTCAAAAAAGGTGGGTTAGCCACCATATAGTTTGGTCAATTTCCAAGTCAC